ACAAAGTTATGGACCTGAGCAAAGAACTGAATCGTTTATAAAACAGACATTAGTATCCAAGCATAAGAAACTTTCTGACTGCGGCAGTTTAGTTGTTTGCACACGAAGAATCTGGCAAGCTTCCTTGTAAGTTCAGCGTAACGTCATCTCCAATCAGGACAAATGGTGCCCAGTCACTCACCGTGTACTTCTTGGTTTCTCTCATCCACTTCATGGACTGGTGAAGAGCTTTACTTGCACTCAGTTTATCACGCACCAGATGCCCGTAGAAACGAATCATGAACTCTTTGGTAGATCTGTCATTCAGAAGCCACAGCGACACCAAAACTGAGCGTGCTCCAGATGCAATGAAGGCACGAGCAATACCCACAACTCCCTCGGCTTTCATGATCTTTCCGCGACCACTGTGACAACAGCTGAGCACAACCAATTTGGCCCGGATACCAACCTTCGAGATGTCTTCCATGGTCAGCATAAAGTCCTTCTTGCTAGGAGCCCGTTCAGCGGAACAACTCGGGGAAAGAGCGATCTCTCCTCTCTCTGCATCACCGTGGGCCGCAAAGTGGATTAAACTCACATCCTGCATCTTTCTAAGAACCTCCCGTTTTGTAGCCTGGTTTCCTACAATAGCAGCAAGGCCCAACAATGCTGCAATTTCTTGTGCCTCCTTTCTGGCTTCAGGCAATGGTTGCAGTCTTGTAATTGGGTGAACGGCAGGGTCACCAACAATAAGTGCCCCTGACGCGCTGTGATACTCGGCAGGACTAGTCTGGATCAGCTCAAGTGTTGTCAGTGAAGGTATTAGGCGAATGCGGAAGGTCTCTGACAGAAATTTTGCATTTGAATCTTGCAGTGCGGAGAAGGGCACCATAAACAACACACCGTCCGGGACAATGATGATGTCTTGGCGTTGAACGAGATCATCAACAGGGCCGAACAGTCTCTTGTACAACAGTTGAAGGCTTGACTCCTTCTCAATCTCGTCTTCTTCATCCTCCACGAGACGCTGCTGGGTTTCCTCTTTCCTTTCATCAGCTGATGACCACATGCGATAATATGCAGACAATGAGCGATCTTCACATTCAGTGCTTGCCGGCAGATTCAAAAGACCCGCGATGTCTTCCTCCCCTGATTTTAGTTTAGATAGTCTTAATCGGATTTGCCCTTCTTCCATAATCCAAAAAAACATGTGATCAAACACAACAGTTATGAAGATAATTGTACTTTGATTTTGAATGGAAAGTTGTCTTAAACCATTCACGTAAATCTCGTTTGAAAGTTGTCTTTGGTGGACGCCATACTTCTCTGACATCAAGTCGACAAGAGCCCTAGCTCGTCCTCTTTCTGCGGTGCATAATGCCTCAGGAACTTTTCCTTGAAGGACCAGAAGGGTACATAATACCCAGTAGTTTCGGGAAGTCAAGTTGTTCAGGGAAATGCTGTGTTCATCCTGAAGTTTTTCAACGTCCCTTTCGATAGAAGAAATGCTTTCAAAAAGATACTCACATGCCTTTTTCAATTCTCCGTTGTCGGCACTATAAATACCTAATGACAAAAGTGCCACGTGTTCTCTTCCTGCGTCTTCGACCTCTCTCAATATGTTGAGACCTTTCTGTTGAATCTCTATCGCTGTTCTGAATTTTCCGAGGGCGTCGTAAACAGAAGCGCAACAAATCAAAGCTGTTGCTTCGCCACGCTTGTCGCCCATGTTTTTCATTATTTTAATTGCACTGTCATAGTTCTCAAGTGATTTCTGGTATTGACCATTGTTGCTATAGAACAAAGCAAGGTTGATGTAATTCGTTGACATTTGCCTTTTGTCCCCAGTTTCATTCGAAATTTCGAGCGCTTTCCTCGCGTATATCTCTGCTTCGCAGGATTGTGAGTCTAGAGCATAGTACACAGCACCAAGCCCAGTCATAGCGGCTGATTTTAATTTCTTGTCTCCGGTGTCCTGACCTACTTCCAAAGCCCTTTTGAAACAATCGATGGACTTTTTATATTGGCCAATTTCATTGTATATCCGGCCAAGCTCACTGAGGGATCTTCCCTCTGCCGATTTGTCACCAGTTTCCTTCAGAATGTTGACTGCTATTTCCTGGTGGTGGAAGGCTTTTTTGTACTGACCAAGTGACAGATAACAAGTCCCAAGACCGTGGTGCGCGATTCCTTCTGGCCCTTTGTGTTCAAATTTTGTCGCTATTTCAAGCGTTTTTTGAAAATGCTCGATTGNTGACACATAACAAGTCCCAAGACCGTGGTGTGCGATTCCTTCTAGTCCTTTGTGTTGAAGTTTTGTCGCTATTTCACGCGTTTTTTGAAAATACTCGATTGCATCCCTGTATCGGTCGAGCGCATGATAACTAGTACCAATGTTGTTGTAGCAGGCACCTACATCGACCAGATCTCCATGCACTCTCATTATTTTAAGTGACTTGAAATGACAATCGAGAGCTTTTTGGAATCCCCCAATCTCTTGGTAAGTACTTCCAAGCTGTTGATACGACATTGCCGTTCCTCTATAATCTCCAACCTCTTTTAGTATTTTCAGGGACTCTTCTAGGTAAGGGATTGCTTTATGGTATTGAAGGAGCTGTCTGTACACGGACCCAAGGTCGCGTAGTACTTTACCTTCTCCTCTTCTGTCTCCGATTTCCCGACACATTCTCAGAGCTTCACTTTCGAACTCGATGACTTTATCCTGTTTACCAAGAGCGGAGAACGCTTGAGCCATGATAACACAAGCGACTCCTTCTTTCTGTTTGTCTCCATTTTCTTTAGCAGCTCTATGTAATTTGCTTTGCCAAAAAATTACTTGAAAGGGTTGAGCAGTGCATCTGAACGCCCAACTGATACCTTGATTTGCTGTTTCTTCTGCCTTCTTCGCTTTAATTTCTTTGCTGTTTTTCAGAACTTGCTGGACGCTTGCGAAAGCTTCCTGAAACTCATTTGTGATCAGATATACTCTCGCCAGTTGATGGTGCAATATTGTTGCAAGGCTAAAATTCCAACATTCTTCTTCACTTTTGTTCAATAGAATTTGACACTCTTTGTAGAAGTCAATGGCTTTATGATAACGATGCGTACTGAATAGAAAGTCTGCTACCACGAGACCAATATCCAGTTTCGTAACCTTTTTTTCACCCATTGCGAAAAACAACTGAAAGCATGAAGTGTCAGCTTTAAGTACCTACGTACTGTTAACTACTGCTTTTCCAAAAAAATCATGAGGATTGGAGTCTTACTTGGTTCACAGTTTAAGACAATCGCAATCGAATACTGTTGAAGATTGGAAAATTGCCTGTGAATTAGAAAAAGGTGAACAGTAAATATCTACGAGATCAATTATGGCGTCTACTGCGCATCCGTAGTAAGACAAAAGAGGGTAAAGAAGCTATCAATTTCGACCAATCACAAGTGAAATCGCATCGAGAGAACACTTTCGCTTTGCCCAAGTGCGCTGATGTGCGTGGCTCTGCGCGATTTTGTGAAAACGCGTAGCAAAGTTAACAGTTACGGCAGAGAGCGCGAGAAAATAATTTTAGATTAAAGTGACCGTGAAAGCATGCGGTTATGTTTCGCGTACTATGCTTTGGAAAGGAAGTTATAACGTAGGGTTCTACTCTGATCATCGGTGGCAAGAAATTTGGTTTATAGCATTTACTAGTGTACTAATGGAAACCGGCTTTCTGTCAAGAAAGTAGAAGTTGTCGAGCAATGTCGACACAGATCAAATAGCTGAAGGTTTAGTTGGGCTTGAAAATGTTAAACTGAAAATCAAAACCCAGTCAAACCCCCGGTGGGGGGTACTCCCAGAAAAATTGGGTGGCGGTGTGTAGACTGTTCACAGTCCCCTATTTT